TTTTTTTGCGACGAAATTTACCGTCATATTCGAATGATATTTTTCATTCCCTGAAAACAGGGATAAAAGGATATTTTCTGAAAATGAAACCTAGGTAGATCGAATCTAGGCATTTCATGAAAATCGCTGGAGCCGTTTCCGATATTCAGATTATATATATATATATATATATATATATACACAATAATTGCTCATTTGAAAGATAACATTTGACTTTGACAAAATGAACGCGAACAATGAATGATCAATTTAAGTAAATCTTTACATTTTGTAACATAAGTTTCAGTTACCCGACTGCGCCAGAAGGAGGGTTATGTTTTTCAAGAGTATGTTTAATTGTTTGGCACGCTCTACAGCCTTAACGGCTTGATGGATTTTAGCTGGAGAGGTGTCGTTAGATTCGTATTTACTGTGAGAGTGACACTGGGTATATCAAAATAAAAAATACACAGAAACGAAGTCGGGTTATTTAGTTTTTAAATTATATTCTTGTTTCCTGAACTTCTTCTCCATATAAATTTTAAATATGCCAACTCTCCAACGCTTTCGCTGCACGCATTAATATAAAGGAGATAACAATGTGGCGATATTGGACCTTAGTCAAACAGACTAAAATAGATCTGTTTGTGCTGGTGTAATGACAATCTAGGTTTATCACGATTGTTCGGAAGATTAGCATGATAAAATAACTGGCAATGAAGTTATGTGACGACTTTTAAAAGAAAATTCCCTCATAAATCGAATTTACTATCAAACAACATGGTTGGAGACTTTACTTTGAGCCTTATAAACGCCAATCTATTTTTATGTAAAAGTCAAAGTAAAACAGAATATATTTTGTTATTATACTGTGGCAGGGCCATGCAATAGTCTTCGCTGTTGCACGAATGTGCAGGTCTGACTGGGGAAGTACAATGACTTCAGAGAAGACCGGTGTGAAGTAGAAGTACTTCTACGTTTCGTCTGAGGTAATAGGGTAATACTTTATTAAAAAGGCGGCAACACCTCTACAACCCACTGGTGTTGCAAATGTCCATGGGCCGCGGTTGTCATTTACCATCAGGTGAACTGCCAGTTCGCTTGCCACATTCCCACATAAAAATAGTATTTCGCTAGCGAGTAATGAACTCGCTAGATAAGTCGTGAGATTGACAGATATTTGAACGAGTTCGTCTAGTTTTGCCTATAATAAATATATAAAAAAACACAAATTCTCGGCCTTCAATGCGGGCGTTATCTGTGATAAAGTGTTTAATTACATTCCTTTGCCTAGCGTTGATAAACAAGCGAAAGTTGTCTTATTTTTAATGGTATTCCATTTCGAGCAGCCTATTTACACACATTTTTATTACAACATATTTATACATATAAATACGTTTTAATTTATCAATTTATTCCGATTGCGTTAGTCCACTGTCTTCTATGGATTCTGGGACTATCTTGATTGCTAATCTACAATGTAATATATTGTAATAGAATATTAGGGATATCAGTCGCTTAGCTCACCATCAGTTTTGGCTATATTGTCTGGGCGCAACTGAAAAAAAAAGACATTTTCGATAATTTATGTATTAAAATTGCTTTTAATTTTTATGGATTCCTTTTTTGATTAGAATTTTACTATCTATTTTTTTTTTATAAAAGTCAAATTATTTCTTTTATCTTGATAATTTACAGTTGTTTTACTAAGGTGCATAATTTTAGAAATGCCAAATAAGAGCATTATAATTTCGCACGTGGTCTTTCTTAAACCATTGGAATAATTGATTTTGCCTTGTGAGCATAGAGCAAGAGCAATCCCCTCACGCAAATCAAATAAGATCATATAAGAGATACTCATTTTTAAATGTAGGGAAATCCTTAAAGAAATTTCCGTGGAAACAGAAAACTAATTTGCCATAGCTACTGAAATTCAACCAACAAGTACATTTATTTTTCATTTACGACATTAAACGTGTGAAATATGCCTTGAAATTTGAATTTATATTACTTACGCCCAGTTTCTGAAACACTGATCATCGAAGAAGTTAACTAATCAGCTGCCCAATGACTTGTATGAAAACCGAGAGTTAATCTCTTGAATTGAACCTATCAAAGTATAATTATATATCATTTTCAAACTTCCTCGGTAATTACTTGCACAATTACGTTTATGAACAACTCATGCCGACATCGAATAGAAGTAAACAGGAACTGCAGCTAATTACTGCTTACGGCAGCTAATCCTAGCACAACAAGTGCATTTTAATCTATTTAGAAAATAGATTAATATCATACAACGTGCGACTGAATGCTTAGAATATACGGGTACTCTGTTGTGGTTATGGTATGGTAACAGTTATGATGCAACATATTGATGTATGCAAATCCTATGATGATATACGGCGAGCAGACAAAGAACCTAGAAGGCTGCGGGAGTTTAGAAGGCTGGTCGGTATCAGTATTGAATTAAATCTTGAGGGGCAGCTTCATCACTAACCGCGGTATATGTCTAACGACGATATTCCTAAAGTGTAGTAGAAATGCGATATCATTTTCACGTGCCTCTCCCGACCGTAGTAGCTAATAGGATGGCCATTAGGGCGGGCGTCTAAAGGGCGATATTGTATAAGTGAGGATTTGCTCCGTTATGCCTGTGCAATGCTGGCCTTAATTATGCTTCCTTGCTATCCTCTAGCGTCTTTCTTAAGATTTTTTGCTACCGAGATTTCTCGGCAACCATTTACTGAGTTGACAATGTAATTTTGACATAAAGAAATTTTAATAGGTTCCAAGTTAACATGCCCTTTTCAAAGAAGTGATGTCTTTGTTTTTCGGTCTAACTTGTAAAATCTTGTGTGAAAAAAAAAGGTTTTTCGTTTTTACGCGGCTACTGCACTTTGTGTAATAAAACTGTTTTATTACCTGGTAAATTATAATATGTCTAATCTGTTTTTTTTTTTAATTTCTACAAGTTTTAAATATTACATTACATCAGAAAGTTTACAGCATCAAGACAATTGTTTTTTTATTATTATCCATATCCGTTACCACTAGCCAGATGCTATAAAATGAATGAATGAATAAATGAATATTCTTTACAGCATGTATTAATGTATTTTTTTACCATGGTGGGTACCAAGGTGAAAAAATACATTATTATTTAGCCAATATTCCATGTTTGGATTTTCAATTTTAAGTGATCGAAGCGTTGATATACTTATATATTTATAATAAGTTACTTTTATCGGTAATGTAAATAGTTCAAATTTGTATTGGCGGGCTGCCGCCAGACTCCTCACTTTAATGCCAGAATATTATCTTTGTTTTTACAGTTGGTACCAGTTAGGTGCCACTATAAAACTGTATTTCGTCTATTTTAATTATTTTCAATGTAGTCAAAACCGATATTTTTAATGCCGTCAATGCACCTCTTGAAATCGGCGGTGTTTATTATACAAAGCTTCCTACGTACTTCCGAAGTGAGTTCGAATGCTGGTTTTTGTTAGCTCGCACGCCTCGTATTTTATTCCCATTAGACAAAAATAGACCGGTCTGTTAGTTAGGACCACGCTACAACTTCATTAATTCTGTTGGCTCCGAACATGTTACTAATTAAAAGTATTTTTTCTAAAAACATTTGACTCCAAAGATTTATTTACACCCCTGATTGGGGATGCAGGTGCTAATTTATTGCCTTAGCTCTTCCACGGAAGAGGGTTGAAGTAGACGTGTTTATTCTTTTGCGTTTCGTCCAGTATATTACGTAGCTGGGAGCTGGAAGCCCACTGGCTGACATTGCAACACCATTATTTTTGTGTGTCCATGGGTTTCTTTATCATCGGGTTAAGATCTACGTATGAAAGCGAAGTTAATTCAGACATTCCTTTCAGCCTAAACAAAATAATGAGAAACGTATAAAACAAAGTCGTCGCGCTGTCTGTCTATCCCTATGTATGCTTAGTACTTTAAAAATACGCCACGGGTCTTGATGCGTTTTTTTACTAGATAGAGTGATTGAAGAGGAATATGTATAATATATATAATATGTATAATACATAATACCAATGCGAAGCCGGGGCGGGTTGCTAGTTTTTGTAATAAAATACTAAATTGTAAAGGTCACGGGTGTTTCAAATGGACGATGATAATAAATAGTTATCGTGCAGTGTTTTGACGTTTCGTTTCTAAGTTTTAGAATCGAAAATTATTTACTGGTTTATATTCATCTCGGGTCGCAAAGAATACAGTTCAGTCAAAGGTTAGTTTGGTTATCAGAAGTAAATATACTACTATGTATAAATCTTAGCTTATACTAGTTATAAAATTAATATTTAATTGGTAATTATCTATGTATGGAGCACACGATTAAATAGGAAATGAAGAATTGATTCAATATACGCTTGCTTACACTATTTCTATTCACAATCAGAAATAAGGAATGTTTTTGATTTATGATTTACTATGTACTTCATAAGATTGTATTAATTATAATTATATAAAAATAAAATGTAAATTTTCTAATAATCTTTCCTCAAGCGCTCATTTTGTGGCATATCGTATTACTTTTATTTTTATTGTAATCGAATGGAGGAAATATATTAGCACGTGGCTAAAGGTAATTAAAACATTAATTATTTATTAATTAAAAATAACGTTTGGTTGCCCTTAATTATACCTACTCACTCTTAAATAATAATTAAGGTAATTAATTTATTATTCATTAGATTAACACTTAATGTTCTAATACCCTTATTAGAAATAAAAAAAATATTATATTACAGTCCCGTCTCTCGCATTAGCGGTAAGCACATATTTTTCTTCTTCTATCGGACTATAGTAAAATCGCATAGACTTTTTTTGCTATTAAATGTCATTGAGTTTTTTTTTATTTCTTTTATGACAAAGCAGGTTTTTAGGACCTAGTTGAGATCTAGCTCATCGCCACATCAATACTTATCGCTTTGAATCTTTGTGCTGTGTCAATTTAGAGATGGAAAGGTGTCGTCGAGAGATTAGATATGGGATCATGTGGTTATCGTATTGCGTACGAATCAGGTGACCGGTGGCATTATCTAAATATAAACATAAAGAACTGCGTCGCCAACGCGACTGTGACGAGCGACATGCAGCCGCTGGTGGAGAGGATCAGGGAGCTGGAGGCGTTGCTGAAGCAGCGCGACCAGGAGATGCTGGAACTGCGCTCGCAGCTGGACAAGTTGCAGAGCGTCTTCCCGTACCAGCAGTACGCGAGGGGATCGCGCGGTCCTAGGAAGCAGAGGGCCCAGGGTATCTCTGCGGAGCCGCAGACGAGCTCCTCCCTCCAGGACTTGACGCACCAAACATTCCCAGTGTACGACAAGAGCGAAACGTGAGTACCTAACCACCTATCAATTAGAGCACACTAATTAATTACACAGAGATAACATCGACACAATTGTACTTCATTGATAGACTTCAAGAGTTTGTATTGATAACGCGTATCGCGTCGCCTAAGTGAGTCCTTGATCAATTTCAAGTAAACAGATCATAGTGCGCCAATGATAAGCTTATCGAGATTTTTTTGTCAGTATTTTCATGCCGTTCGACGTTAACTTTTCCATATCCATTTTGCAATACTGCTTATAACGTTCGTTACTGTATCTGTTTATTATTTAATTTATAAAGTCTTGTCACTTAAAATTACACTTGGCATATCATTAGAGTAGACTGCAGTGGTAACACAAATACAATGTATTTCGCATCTCATCATTCATCAAGAATAATATTATCGTCACCTACTGTTTAGATTTTAACGCAAGCTATTGACGTTTAACATGTCTTTTCCTCGTCATATAATGAATTTACTTAAAATTGTGCTTCGTGTACAATCAGCAATTTCATAATAAACAACCCATGAAAATGCGTTAACCGAATGATCGTGACTACGAAATATTTAATTTACTTTTTGAATTTGCACCTGTAAGATCATGGCTCATCATTGCGGACCTTGTCGCATATAAACAAATATTTTTTACACAAACACATTTAAGTCATTGAAATAACGACACTCTTAATGTTAAACTTAATTTATTTCAACCTTGTTTATAAATAAATGTAGATATTCCAAATCGGATAACGTTAGAAGGACCAGTCTGGACGTAATCAAAGCGGTTTATTTCCTAAAGTGTGTAATTGACTGGTTTTACTAGAGCATATACAAATATTGCTCTTAACGACTTGTCAAAATTATTATTCAGGACAAAATAAAACAACCTCACATTTTAACGATCACTTTTATCACGTTTTCATTGATTCGATTTCATGATTCTTCGTTTATATTTGTGATATCAGTTATAGCAGTGCACCAAACTCAGTTTCTCAGTTCTCTACATCACCCTAAAATTTACTGGTAAAAATGACATTTGCATTAACTCGGTCATTGTACTAGTAGTAATAGTAATAGCATAAAGTTTAAATTAACAAATAAATAAATTTGAAGGTAGATATGTTAAATCTACTAGTTAAAGCAAGTTACTCGTAGAATTATTGATAAGCCTAAGAGCGAAAGTAGCAAAACAAATTTAGGTAGTCGTGTATAATGTTTAATTACTTTATGTATGATACAATGTTTTATTACTTTTTGTGGACAGTTTTGAATATAGGATAAAGGAGAATAATTAGGATCGAAAAGACACGTGTTAAGTTTAAAAGTGATGTAAAGTAACAGCCTATATATCCCACTGCTGGACAAAGACCTCCTTTGTGCAGATGTTATTAGGGCATAGTCCACCACGCGACTCTACTGCGGATGTGCAGACTTCACATATCTTCGAAATATTTTCTTTGTTATTATTTGGGAAATATGCAGGTTTCCTCATGTTTTCCTACACCGCTGAGTGGGTGATAAGTCAGTACGTTTTATCAGTTTCATCTGTGCCGGCACCGGGATTTGAACTCAGGATGCTCGTGTATATTGAATTATAAGGGAGCGCACGGACACCGAGCTATTTAGGCATGCTAAGTTTATGATGGATTTTTTCAAATAGTGCCCTATCCACCACTCTCGCTTGTCTGATGATGGTGTTTTACTTTTAGTTATAGAATTTTAGTTTCCTGCGTGCATCATAGAAAAGTCCATTTGTGTTTAATAAGTCCCCAAATATGTGAAGCGATGAGTTCATCGGGCGGTGTCTACGAATCTGAAATGCGAATTCTCGATCCAAACTCCCCCACACATCGTGAATCGATCAGATTAATGCTCTTATTTTACATGATAGATATGTATACATCGTAGAGATATCCAAGTTCGTTGAGATTCCTATGTCCATAATGTACGGAGTTTACACACCAACACATACTATACTAGATTTGATACTTACTTTGTATATACTAGATTTAATGAAGCACCCATAAGTTTAATAAAACAGACAATATTCTGGACATATTGACGGTTGCACGTCAAACATAGGAATTCGCCTCTTCTCTTTTTCTGCCGACATGAAAAATAAGAGCTTTTATTTATAAATAACGCAAAGTAAATGTTACTCGGTGGTGATATGATATAGTTTTATATTAGTGCCAAAAGATAGTTTAATGTAGTGTTTCAGACATTGCAACCTAGAAGATTATCAATGTAATATATTTTTGAAAGGTTTCAATGTTGTAAATATTGAAAATAATAAATTTATTACGTATAAATTTAAGTTAGAAACATATGTATTTAAATTAGAAGCTTTCACGTATTTAGATCAAAAAAGGTAGATAGATTTTAAAGTTTTTTTATAGTGCTAATCTCTGCACTTAAGATTGAACATTAAAACATGTAGAACAAGTCATAAGCTAAATAACAATGTAGAAAGAGGGCGTTAAGATTTTCGTCGCTGTGGCTATCATCCGTTTAGCTCAGCGGCTAGGGCGTCAGGCGGCGAATGCCGAAGACGTGGGTTCGATTCCCACAGCGGCGACAATCTTTTCGTACTTTTTTTACATGTGTTAATGTTTTAAGGTAGATAGAGATAACTGTCTCCACCTGTTACAAAGCTTCATCGTCATCATCATGCCAAATTAATTTTAATCTGTAGTCGGGCAAGCCAGTAGCTTTCGCTGTTGCACAAATGGACAGGCTCGCCCGGGTACTCACCGGTCCTTTGTAACCGTGGTACGTACCAACAGATATGTGAGGTAACTGGAGCCCATTCTCTAAAAGGTTGGCAACGAATTTATTGTAATCCCTCCTTTGATTTGGATTTCAACAGGCGGCGGTAATCCCAAACATAAGTAGAACCGGCTGTTTGCTACCATATTAAAAACAAAACGAAACAGGTGATAAACGTATATTAATGTATCTAACTAATGTCTTCTTGTCATTTTAAAATAAAGTATCCCGAAATAACTTTGCAGTAAACATTTCATCATTTCGTCGCTAGTATTTGCAAAGTAAATATTTAACATTTTTTCGACCCTGAAACATAGCTACCTTTTTATAGCTTAATACATAACGTTTTATGACAGGCCGCTCTAATTATCAACATCTTAAAGTTCCGCAGTATTAATATTAAATACCTGAATAAATAATATGAGTCAATATATAATAACTTCACTGTTCACGTTGTTGGCGAATAATGAATTTTTAATTCGTAAACGTGTTACATGACGGACATTACTCGTTTCACGGTGCCTTAGAAAGAGATTTTAGTTCGGATTCCATGTTTCGATATTGCTTGTATTTTATGAGCCCCAAATATAAATATTTGAACGAAGATCAAAGCTTATGATATATCATATTATACAAGTGTCTAATTGTAGAACAATTAAAAGTTACTACTTCTATATATTTTACATTTTCATTCTGGTTAGCAAATATTTTTTTATCATCTTACAACTTACGGAAGTGCCTATGTTATGGGTCAGCGCAAGTTTTCTTTTCTACTATTGGTTGCATTCATTAAACTACTATACTCGTATTACACTTCTATTAGAGCCGTGATAGCTCACTGTCCGGGAGCTTGCTTTTAATTCCATATACTCGAGCAACCTGAGTTCGATCACTGGTGCCGGCACCAATGAAGTTGTTAATTTTAAGTGCTGAATTATCACGTGCTCAGCGGTGAAGGAAAACATCGTGAGGAAACCTGCATGTTTTCGAAATAATAACAAAAAAAATTTATTTCAAATATATGTGAAGTCCGTCAATTCAGCAAAGATGAGTAAAATATTTTTATTAACAAAAACAAACGCCTTCAAATTACCTACTATAAATTTTCTATTTGATTTTGAGGAGTTCGCTGATGCATCTCCGGAACTGAAAATCCATTACGGATGAAATTACTTAAACTGTGGTCCCATAGCACAGTTCATAAATGACGGAGTTCTGAGGTAATAAAAATAAAAAATACACACGAATCGAGAATCTCTTTTTTTGTAGTCGGTTGAAAAAATGAGAATGAGTAGATTACTCATTCGAACATTTCAGAAACATTTTTTTGTGGTTCGGTTATCTTAACTACCTTTTTTTGTACAACAAACTTCGGCTGATCGTAGCAATTTGTCTTTCTTGTTCCGCGCATGCGTCAATACGCGTGTACCAATTTAAAGTATGTTTATATTACACGTTGAGATTATTACGAACACACTTTAAAACCTAATTCAACTAAATCCTTTCAGATATATTGGATGGATATATAATAGTTTAGATCTATTCCACCAATCCGCATTGGGGCCGCCTGGTGGACTGCCCTGATACCCTCTGTACAGAGGAGGTCTTTGCCCAGCAGTGCGGCATGTATAGGCTGTTACTTTAATTTACTAAACTAGTACGAATGTTCTTCATAATCTTTTTTTCGTTAACACCACGTATATCAAGGCGGTGTAAAGATGCGGGCTCCTTTGAGATTACCAAAGACACAACGTTACAATTCCGTCAGAATCTGTATTCGCTGCGTGCGGGCATTTAACTAGCGATTGCCTCAAAAGACTCATAATGGTGCGAATGACAGGGTGAATTTTAAAATGCTAATTTGTATGCGTCGCGGCGAAATGCGGGAACGATCGTTCTGGGCTCGTGTACCCTTTCAAATGAGCTGATATCGCTTGCGTTTCGAAACGGATAACGATAAATCAGTAATTCTGTAGCACTTGTGTTGACTTTAACATTGTAAACTATTTATTGTGAACATAATATGTGAATGATGAATATTACCGTTATTAACTCGTCTGCGTTTGATGGTTATTTTATTTTATATACTGTACCACGATGCACGTGCATCGTGGTACTTATAAATTTGTTAATCGAGGAAGTCTTACGTCAGTAAGATGCTACATCTGTCTCTACAACCTTGATTAAATATTTAAATGCAATAAAACGCTTAAAAAGCTAATAATTTTAAAATTA